AAGTTAGATCCAGAGTCGGTTAACCAAGTATAATAGTGCACATGTGTAGTAACGTCTAGCACGGCATTATCCACTAGAGTAAGCTGTCAGTTAACTATCTTTACTTACTGTCTTTCTACTGAAATAATCTAAAACCATTTTTATTTAGTTTATAATACAGTTTTCTGCTTATATTTCAAACAGATATAGTGATTCATAATATTTCAAACTTCAAACATTTGGCACAGAAGAAACCAGAAGGTTTTTAGCTTCATAGTTCAGTTTTACTAAAACATTTTCTCTGCTATGTCATTTCTGATATGTGGGCTAGGGCGCAGGACAAGTCTAATTTAGAGCAAACTTAGTCTGAGTGCCCATTTCTCTGGGAAAAAGAGGTAATATAAGTGATGTGGTTTAAAAGGCATCACCTTCCGTCCTTTGCTAGAATTGACTAGACAGATCCTCTGCATTGTTAAGAAGTGGAACAATGCCAGTGAGCTCCTAGATTTAGGTTGGTGTGACTTATGTGCTCACTTTTCAGCAAAGTTTTCTGGGAAAATAATGAACATTCTAAACTAGATTATTTCTGTGTGATGAGCACATGGCATGAGCTGTTAGATGACGGATGATAGAACCTGTGTCAGATCCTGTGAGGAGTTAGAGATCCATCTGCTTGTTTGTTGCTGTGAGTCAAGAGAGTATCACCCATTTAGATTAGTTCAGCATTTAAAAAAATGTTAATTATTATTATTATTGGGAAATATATAATAGTTGTTTTTATTACTCCTGAACTTTGTCTAAAAAGTTACATGTGCTGCTGACTCTAAGACACAGTGTGAAGCAATGTGTATTCTTTAACGACAGTTTGCTAAAAAGAAGTTTTTCCCCCTTCCTCTCTAAAAGAGATTCTTGAAGTTGAAGTTAAAAATGTCAGTAGGTTAGATATTATAAGAATATAGGCTTTTTGTGATTGAAGGCAGTCATCATTCTAAGTTGCATACAAATATAATAGATATGCTTTTCCCCCCCTCTCATTAAAGGTGGCTTTCTAGAAGATGACCATAGAGGACCTTCCAGATTTTCCATTAGAAGGAAGTTCTTTGATTGGAAGATACCCATTTTTATTTCAAGGTTCTGATACACCAGTTATCTTTTCCATTTCTGCAGCACCAATGCCTTCAGACTGTGGTATGTTAAGTAGCTGTGTTTATTTTCTATGAACTGTTAACTTCTGTCTTATACCCTTTTTGTACTCCTGATTTTCTCCTAAAACCATTTGTTGTGGTTTTCATAAAATTGCTAAAGTTTTCCTTTTTCAAAAATACAATTGCTTTTTCTCTCTTTTCAGCTAATCGCTTTATTTCTGCTGCCAGCATTTTTATTATGTAAAAGCATCCATTTTAAGCACCATGGTGGATTCAGAGGATCTTATTTTTAGAGTTCAGTGGTGCTTAGACATCTATCATTCTTTTGATGTACTGATGTATTTATTTTGGTTAAATGTACTAACTTGCTTAAAAAGCCCTGTACTAGAAAAAAAAAAAAGAGACCTAAAAACACTGTGTGCTAGCCATCTCTAAGGGCCCTGTTGTTTCTGAAATACTAGAATTCTAATTAACAAACCAAATAATCACTGCTGAAATGATCCAAACTTGGGTGGCAGTGTAATGACAAGTGATGTTTTAATACACAAGCAAGCCTAATTTGGATCCTGTCTCAGTTGTCTCCCATTGTAATTATCAATGTACACACAAGTAAAGTAGAGTAAAACAAAACAAAAAAACCCCCTATACTTACACAGGGTAAGGCCTTTCCCTGGAAAGTGGAGTGAGATTTATTCATATTTAAATTGGGTCATTTAAATAATCTTTTAAAATGTAAATTTAGATGTATTCTCGGTTTTAATCTATTTAGACCTATTTCCCCAAGACCATATTTTATCAAATAATTGATAAAGAAATAAAACTGGGAGATAAATTTGATAGATTTATTACATTTCTAATTTAGTTAGAGTTTTTCAAGTAAAATACTGGGTCACCACTTCAAATTGTCTTTGGAGGTAGAGACAATGCGATTTCAAAATTTCAGTGAATATAAAATGATTGGATTATGAATTTGTCTTTTTAGTCATATCCATTATAATAACTTCTCATCTCCAAGTATGCTATTTTTATGTGTTCAGATAGCCGCTTGCCTTGCCGTCATCAAAGGTGTTATATAAAAGCTGTGCCTAGATCCTGAGAATTATTTGCAGCTTTTACAAAAATTGACTGGATTTATTTTCAGGTATAACAAAATCAGTTATGCAGGAAAAACCTTGAAAAGCACTCTACCTTGCTTGTGGCACTCACCTCATTCTGTCTTGAGTCATAATTGTCTTGTTTCCTTTCCTGGACTATAGCTCTTTGGATGGGAGTAGCACTCATGTTTTGTTTTTGTTTATCTCATTGGGCTAATGTAGTCATTTGTTGATATTAGTTGCTCAGTGTTTGTTGAATAAATACACTGAATGAAAGGTGATAATGGATATTCATCCCTTTGTGTAACTGAAATTAAACATTACCTGTATTCTTAGAATTATAGATTCTTAGAATCTGGATGGACCTATAGTTCAACTTTCCCTACTCATCTCTCAGCATAGAAGTTCTGTTTTCAGGATCTCTGATGGATAACCATTCAGCCTCTTAGATATCTTCAATAGTGGGAAACTGATGAAATAATCCATTTTATTATCAAAGTTTTAGTTGTGATAAAATTGTTTTTGTCTCTGGACCCAAAGTATGTCCCCTTGAAATTTTGGCCAACTGGTTTGATGGGTGGAACAAACGCTTCTTTACATGATAACCTTCAAATATTTGAAGATAACCTGAGCATTTAGTCTGTACTTCTTTAGGCTACAAATTTCTGGTTCTGTCACCAGTCCCTCATTGTCGGGATTTCTAGACCCTTTTCATTCTAGTTGTTTCCTTCTTAGTGTGCTGTAGTCAGTGTCCTGTTAAAAAGTGGCACCCAGAATGGGAGGGCCCATTATGTGCTGGGTACTGTCCTAGGTGCAGAGGATAGCACAGCACCCAAGACCGACATTCTAGTAGGGAAAACAGGTACTATACAAACAAATGGATACAAAAAACATAAATATTATAGATTATAACGAATTCCGTGGAGACAAGAAACAGAGTGCTGTGACAGAGGATACTGGAGCAGAGTGGCTGTTTTAGATGGGCTGGTCATCTGAAGAATCAGAAGCAGCTAGTCGAGAGAAGAGCCTGGAGAGAAGTGCTCCAGGCAGAAGAATAGGAAAGCAAAGGCACAGAGTTGGGGAAGAACTTTGGTATAGACTTGCAGGAAGGCCATGTGGCTGAGGAGCAAAGTGGTTGAAGGGCAGATTGGCAGGAGATGAACTTGGAGAGGAAGGCAGGGGCCAGACCAGGCAGGATCATTTAGGCCTCGGTAAGAGTTTGTATTTTTTCCTAGGTATAATGGGAGCCATTGAATGTGAGGCTGAGAATGAGATTAAAACCAAGAAACAAAAAGAAACCAACCCACACAAACCAGAACTTAGGCATGCAGCTCAGTGTTGACTCTCCAGGTGGTTGCCCTGCAAGGCTATACACAGATTTTTGGAATCTTTTGCTTTGAATGCCTCTAGAATCAGTTCACACAGACCACACATTATATATTGAAACCCCCCAAATGTTACTATTTTTGCATAAACAATGAAGCTATCTCTTAAAGAGATACAAGAAATAATAAAAAAAACTTATCTGCCCACGTGATTACCATTCCTAGTGTTAGTCATTCCTTTGTGCAGACGGCATTTTCACTTGATAGCACTTTCTTTCTGCCTCGTGGGCTTCCTTTAACATTTCTTGTAGTGCAGATCTGGTGGTGAGGGCTCTTTTCAGCTTTCATATGTCTGAAAACATCTTTATGTCATCTTCTCTTTTGAAAAATATATTTGTTAGGTATAGAATTCTAGGTTGATAGTGTTTTTCTTTCAGTACTTTAAAGTGTTGCTTCTCTGTGTTTCCATGTACGTTGTTTCTCTCAGGAAACTGGCTATCATTTTTGTTTCTCTGTATGTATTGTCTTCTAAATTTTTTTTCCTGATTGCTTTGAAGAGTTTCTATTTATCATTGATTTTGAGTAATTTTACTGTCATGTGCACTGGTGAAGTTTTCTTTTATATTCTCATGCTTGGGGTCTGTTAAGCTTCTTGGATATGTGGGTTCCAGTTTTCATTAAGTTTGGGTAATTATTATTTCTTCAGATAAACTTTCTGCCCCTCTTCCTTTTCAGACACTCCAGTTACAGATATATTAGACCAGCTGGAAGCTTTATCACAGCTCACTGATGGCTTTTTTCATATTTTAAAAATTCCTTTTCTTTCTGTGTTTCATTTTGGGTAGTTTCTATTGCTGTGTCTTCAGCAATGTCTGATCAGCTGATGAGCTCAGCCAGTGTAGTTTTCATCTCACATGTAGTTTTCATCCCTAATTTTGATTTGGGTCTTTTTTATATTATCCATGTCTCTACTTAACCTTGTGAACCTTTGGAATACAGTTATAATGGCTGCTTTAATGTCCTTTTCTGTTAATTATAGTATTTGTGTCAACTCTAGGCCTGGTTTAATTGATCATTCCCTTGATTATAGGTCCCTTTTTCCCTTTGCATGGCTGGGAATCTTTGATTGGATGCCAGACATTGTGAATTTTACCTGTCGGGTGCTGGATATTTTTCTGTTCCTATAAATATTCTTGAGCTTTGTTCTGGAATGCAGTTAATTTACTTGGAAATAGTTTGACCCTTTCAGGTCTTTCTGTTATGATTTTCTTAAGTGGTTCTGGAGCAGCGCTAATCTGGGGCTAATTATTCCTCACTACTGAGTACTTTACCCAAAGCCTGGTGAATCTTTTCCCCAGTCTTTTTGGTGGGAACAGGCACTGTTCTAGGCCCTATACGCTCACTCAGCACTAATCCCTCTAATTCTTTTGGATGGTTCTTTTTCTCACCTCAGGTTTTTCCTCACAAGTATGTGTTAACTACTTAAGGGAGACTGTCCACAGACCTTGGGGGTTCTCTTGCTTTGCACCTCTGTCCTCTCTGGTATGTTGCCCTGTGAACTCTAACTGCCTTACTTCCTTGGGCTCTCAGCTTTGTCTCCTCAGCTCAGTGAGCCTGCTGGGCTTTTTTTTGGTTTCCCGCTCTTTGCACTCAGATCTGGAAAGACCCCAGGAAGAAACGTGGGGGCAATTGTAAGACTCACGTGCTTGTATCCTGTCTCTTGGAGATTGCTGTCATTGCCTGATGTCCAGTGCCTTGGAAACTTCATTTCATCTTTCTTTTTTTTTTTTGGCCGTTTCAGATAGAAGAATAATATATTACTCCATCATGACTTGAAGTGACGCATCCTCTTCAGTCCCCTACCCCCTTTCTTTTGATTAAAACTTTTTCTTTTTTTTCCCCTGTATAGAAGCTGAATTTTGGGTGTCATTAGATTTGTTAATGTAGTGTATGTAGCATAGAGGTTAATATTATAAATCAATCTGGCTTTAATCCTGACTCAACCACTTACTTACCTGTTGTGTGATCTTGGGAAAATTACCTATTGTCTCTCCCATTATTTTTTCTTTGATAAAATGAGGACAATAATATTACCTACCTCATATGGTTGTTATGAGTATTAAATTAGATAATGTACGTAAAGTGCATGGAACAGTCCCTGACACATATTAAGCACTTAATAATGTGTTATCATTAGCATTTAAATGGGCTGTTTGCTACTTGCCATTACCTCAGTGTATAATTACTGAAGCATTGTTACATGTTTTAGTATTTGGTGGGCTAGTATCCTGCCCCCCACCCCGATCATTATTCTTATTAGTTAAAATACTCTTACTTATTTCTCTTACATTTACTTTCTAGATCTTTGCTACTCAAAGTATAGTCCTTAGTCTAGTAGCATTGGCGTCGCTGGGAGCTTGTTAGAATGCAGTCCTGGCCTCACTTGAGACTTGATGGAGTAGCATCTACATCATAACAAAATCCCTAGGCGATTCCTATCTGTGTTAATGTTTGAGAAGCTCTAACAGAGATGAACGGTAGAATAATTTTGTCTGTATCTTCTTACAAATAAATCTTGGTGAGTTGAATTGAAATTATTTTAAATAATTGTTCTTGGGAAAATTGACAGCCGTTAGTATTTTATCTTCCAATCCAGGAACATGATGTGTCTCTCTCTGTTTAAGTCCCCTCCCCCTTCAATTTTCTTTAAATAAGCCTCACAGATTTATTGACATGTTTGTTACTTTATTGTTACTATGTTCTTTTCCCATTACATTTCATTTAAAAAAATCCTTTAAAAATGCAGAAAATACAGTGATAGCAAACATGTGTTGCACATATCCCCCATCAGAAAGAATAAATACTCACATTTTGTCTTATTTCCTTTAGGTCTTATTTTTCAGTTACAAGAATTAAAACCTTAAAGTTGAAATTCTGTCCATTTTTCTTTGTGGTTCCATTCCCCATGCTCCCCAGAGGCAATCACTATCTTATATTTAGTGTGAATATTTCAGACCATTTAATTATACATTTACTATATTACATGAGCACCCTTAAACAATATATAGTGTTGTTTTGTATATTTGTAATTTTTTGTAAATGACAGATGTTGTGTGTTATTCTTTAACTTATTTTATTGATCAGTATGTTTTTTGAGAACAGTCCTTGTTAATTCATGACATAGATATCTGATCCATTTATTTAGTTGTATGAAAGCATCAAGTCCCTATCCTGTGGCTAAACCACATTCTATCCATTCCTCCATGGAGAAATGTTTCAGTTTCTCAGTTATTTTGCTATTATAATCAACGCTAGAGTAAGCATTCTTGTACATGTCTCCTATAGTCACATGACACAGAAGAGTCTTTTTAGGTATATATATTTAGAAATTTCTCTATTAGTAATACCCAATGCCCAGAAAAGTGACTGATCCATAAATATTTATTGAATGGGTGAATCAGTTAGACCAAAAAAAAAAAAAATCCAGTCAACTGCTATATATGCGAAACACACCCAAATCTGTGTTCGAGTACTTGGTATGTGTTACATACTGATTGTTTTTTGATCCTTTTTACTTATATGTAGAAGACCATTTCGTTGTCTTAGGTTTTGGAGAGTGTCTCATTCTTGTTTCAGTCTTCTTGATTCCCTTCAAATGGATGGCTCTGCTCTTACACACATCCTTGGTTTTGTGCTTCTCCTTTCATCTTTAATTCATCTTTCATGTTTATTCTAAAAGTAAGAGTTTATGTATCTAGGATAATTTTGGAAAATAAAGTACAAAAAAAAAAAGTAAAAACCACACGAATCCTGCTATTGGTGAATTCTCTTAGGAGGCAGTGTAATAGAGGAAAGAAGATAGACTTTGGAGGCAGACCTGGTTTCTACCCCAGATTTGCCACTTACTAGCTGTGTGACTTTGAGTAAGTATTGTTTAGTCTGAA